TGCTATGAGTCGGGTCCGACTCGACGGCACATAACAACAACAATAACCTCTGCTTATAGAATAGAAGAGCACTTATCACCTATCATTTAATTCAATTTGGGTCTATGAATATTTCTTGAATGCCATCAGATACAATGCTAACTCCTGAGATATGGAGGGAAAGAAGAAATCATGGCTCCCAGCAAGGAGCTTAGTTTATCGTGGTTAATTATGCATAATTGTGCATATAACCATTGCCTTTCTTTGAGTAACTAAAAAGTTGTGTACGAATGTTTCAGTCTTAATCTTCGCGTTGGTTTTTCAAGTGGTGGAAATGGAGCATAGATGCAACCATAATTGATACAACTTTGGGTTTGACATGCGTCTTTATTGTGTACATGTGTTGCACCCCTCAGAATCCATTTCCCCTGCCCCCTTGCCAGAAGCCTCACGTTTCTATCTGCATATCTTTATGGTTGTGGAGAAGCTCTAGGTGTAGAACACGTCTCCCAATCAGGACTTATGCTTGGATGTTGTTGGTTTAGAGATAGGAGCAGCTTTGCTCCTAGAGTGCTCCTACCACCTCTCTGGATAAAAGCCTTGTAGAAAAAGGAAGCCAAAATCTAGCAATCAAATCTGAGAGGTGGATATAGAAAAACTGTTCTGTTCTGAATCAAGTCTCATCTGAAACTTTTTCTGTCGCATAAGCCAATAAATTCCTTTTATTATTTAAACCAGTGCGAGCTGGGTGTTTTGTCACTGATAACCACAAGCATCCTAACTGTTACAATCTTTTGAATCCAAAGAACAAAAAAAACGATATGCTATCTAGAAAATGAGCCTTTGCTCTCACCATAGGCTAATTTCCCCATAAATCAAGGGATGTATTGGCCTTTCCATCTCCCCTAGCCAAGAAAACACAGACTCCAAGGGCCACATGGCCACAGTGAACTTTCATTAAAGCTAACCTGCAATAATGACAGACTTGCAGTTTTGTCATATTTTATATGTATACCCAACTTATGTTCATGACTTCTTTGCTTCTATGATTCTAGAAAAAGGAGGTGAGTACTTTTAAGATGGATGTGTATAGACACCTAAGAGAGGAAACCCTAAGCACACATACTGTTTGCATATCCAAGAATATATCTGGTTGTGTGGTCCATCACATATAATGACGTTTTTACCTCTGGTTGTTTTCTTTTTGCTGCTACATGCAAAAGCCGTAGAAGATGGTACTGTTCTGGCTGTTCCAGCTCAGGCATCAAGGCTAGGAGCTCTGTCAGGTGTCTGTTAATTAGCTGAGGCTGCTTTTCATACACTGCAGGTAATACTCGCAACAACATGGTGTTACCTGTCAAGGGAGTAATAAAGGGAATGATGACTTCATCAGCCCATGAGCAGTACAATTTTGAACACAACAATTTTGCACACTTACTCACATGTTAAATGACACTGACTGATGGTCAAGTCTTCTGCTAAATATAACATAGTACCTTGTTCTCAAAAATCACTGAAGCATGATTTAAACTGATTCCTTAAAAGGGCATAACTTATAAGATTGGTACTATTATCTAATGACACTCTTTCCTGAGTAATGCACCAAGGGGGAAGTGCACAATCTGACAGTAATCTGACCACAACCTTGAGCAGAAACCAGTTCCGATAAAGAGTTCCTGATGAGAAGCAACATTTGGATGGTGTTTAAATAAAAACTAATGCCAGAAATATGAACCTAAATGAAACTGAACAACAACAAAAAGAAATGCAGAGGAATTTTTTCACATTCCTGAGAGATATAGAGGCATGACTTTGACAAGTGACATATGGAAACTATGACCTATATTTATGAATAGTTAAAAAAAAGTAGCAATGCAAATTTAAATCCCCAATTTCTGCATTATTTCAAGGGAAGTTTAGACTCAGCTTGTTTGTCGTTTGTGATTTGCCTCAAACACATGTATGGACAACTGGATTTAAAATAGCAAAACCTCAAGAAAACATAAGCTACACGGACTTAGCATGCAAAGAACATATGGGAAACATCTGCTTATCACTTTATAGTGTAGATTTTTTTTCTCAAAATCCTCTCAAGTACTTAAATGCCTCAGAGGAACTGGTTTCCAGAGATTTCTTGAACACGAATATTTTTTGGTTCTATTTACTTTGGGCTTTGTATGTAGAAGACATACATTGTTGTTGTTGTTGTTGTTATGTGCCGTCGAGTCAGCCCTGACTCATAGCGACCCCTCCTTGGGTTTCCGAGGCAGTATCACTACGGAAGTAGGATTGCCCAACCTTCCTTCCGAGGAGTGGCTGGTGGGTTTGAACCGCCAGCCTTCTGGTTAGCAGTCAAGTGTCTTAGCCACTATGCTACCACTTAGCGATGAACATTAAGAAAGCAAGATCAGCTTTTCCAGAATATCATATTTAGATTTAATAAGCAAGAGATTCTGGATCAAATTGAATGTATTTGGATCATGATAAATCATGGAATCTCTTTTTCCACCTGTGGCATGTAGAGTTAGTCTCAAACAGGTTTTAGTTATGTGCCCACAGAGTACAAAGTATTGAAAATATTCAAGTTAAAAAAAAATATATATATGTACATTTATGTTGTAACCATTGTAAAACATTGTTTCATTTCATTTGTTTTCTGTTTACTTTTACTAAGAGCTTCTTCATGAAGGATTGTTGTTATTGTAATGTGTCATCAAGTTGGTTCCAGCTCATAGTGACCCCTCCTTGGGTTTCCAAGGTGGTATCACTATGGAAGTAGATTGCTCCACCTTCCTTCCAAGGAGTGGCTGGTGGGTTTGAACTGCCAGCCTTCTTGTTATTAGTCAAGCCCTTTAGGCACTAGGCTACCAGAGTTCCTTCATGAAGGATTAAGAATTTTAAATGTAGCATCTAATCTCAGCAGAACACACCAGTTCACAGAACTGTTACATAGACACACTGATCAACTCCTTTAAACATCATATTAAATGAAACTGTAATTGGAATCTAAGAATGGAATAGCCCTCAGCTTTTTGCTACAACACTCACTAATGGCCATGGAATCTTTTGGGAGTTCAAAACCAGATTAGTCATTTTCAGCTGACTAGACCTTGGTTAGAAATTGATTAAGACACTTTGGTGTTGAAATCTCATAAATTCCATTTATAAGCTAATATGTTCTTTTGTTGTTAGGTTCTGATTCATACGACCCTATGTACAACAGAATGAAACATTGCCTGATCATGCACCCTGGTGCTGTGCTTAGAGTATTGGGCTGCTAGGGAGAAGGTCAGCAGTTTCTGCAGGAGAAAGATGTGGCAGTCTGCTTCCATAAAGATTTACAGCCTTGGAAACTCTATGGGGAAGTTCTACTCTGTCCTGTAGGGTTGCTATGGGTTGGAATCATCAATGACAGTGGGGTATTCTTTTTATGTACGAAATATTTCAATACATATTTCAAGAGTAGACTATCACATAAGGAACATGAAGTGTGTCCATCAAGTAGTTTTGTCACAACTTAACCTTGTGCCATAATTGCTTCCTTTCCCATTCATCTCCTTTTCTCCCCAGAGGCAACCACCTTTCTGAAGTTAGTGTTTACTGTCTTTATTAATGTTTTCTTAATTTTAATTGTGTGTGTATGTATCAATAAATATTTTATAACTTTTTATCAATAGTATGCACTGAACATATCTCTTTGCAACTTTTTTTTTCACTCAATATTATATTGAAATTTTATCTCTAAGAGGCTCTCTTTCATTCATTATCAGAGCTGTATGGTATTCCATTATACAAATATATTCTATGGCTGAACATTTAGGTTATTCCCACACCCGCTCGCATTTACAAATAGTCCTGCAGTTTTTGTACCCAAATCTTTGTGCATAAGTGGGAGAAATTCTCTAGGACAGTTTTTCTGAGCTTAATGTACATAGAAATCACTTGTGTATTTTGTTAAAAAAAAAAAAAAAAAGAGCAGTGTTTAAGGGCTGGGCTGCTAACCGAAAGGTAAGCAGTTCAAACCCTCCAGCCACTCTAAGATAGAAAGATGTGGCAATCTGCTTCCATGAAGATTTACAGCTTTGGAAACCCTATGGGGAAGTTCTACTCTATCCTATACGGTTGCTATGAGTCGGACTCCACTCAACTACAGTGGGGATTTTGTTAAAACCCAGATACTGATTTCGTAGATTGGAGGTAGGCCCTCAGAGTCTAAATTTCTAACAGGCTCCTAGGTAATGTCAGTGCTGAAGGTTCCTGGACACATAATTGAGGAGCAAAGCAGTGAGTATGTTCCTTGAAGATGAGTTGCTAGATAATGTAAAATTGCTTTGTAAAGTGATTGTATTAGTTTTCTATAACTTTTATAACACAGTACCACAAATTTAGTGGTTTAAAAGAACACAAATTTATAATCTTACAGCTCTGAAATTCAGAAATCTGACACAAGTATCCCTGGGCAAAAGCCAAGGCTGGGTTTCTTTCTGGAGGTTCTGGGAGAGAATGCATTTCCTTGGCTTTTCCAACTTCTAGAGACCACTTGGCATCTCAGGGTGGTACAAATGGTTACCATGCTGGGCTGCTAACCAAAAGTTTGGAGGTTTGTATCTATCCAAAGGTGCCTCAGAAGAAAAGTATGACTATTTACTTCAGAAAAAATCAGCCATTGAAAACTCTATGGAGCACAGTTATACTCTGAAAACTAGTTTAGAGACTACCTGCATTCTTTCACTCAAAGCTAGCAACATAACATCACTGACACAGCTTCCATTGTCATCTCTCTCTCTCTGCCTCTCTTTTCCACTTTTAATGACTCTCATGATTACATTGGGCCCACCCTAATAATCTAAG